GTATAATCAGGCATTATTGCTAGAAGGTTCTAGCAATACTGACGCAAAAACAAGAGAAGAAGGTTCATGAAACCTGAAAGATAGAGGAAAGAAAGGTATAGATTGATGGGATTAATGAATGCATTACAGAATATTATAGAGGTTTTACCATAAAATCCCGAAAGATATATTCTCAAAAGGACTTAATACCGACAAGGTTAGCTGGCATTAGTTATAATGTTGGCAATTTAGTCAGTATTATCATTATGCTCTTTTGGGAAAATGGTTTTCAGAATTTTGTAGTAGAACCTGTTACGATCAGGGTTTTGAATATCAGATGGCTTAGTGGTGTAATTTCAGTTAGAATTCAGAAATGTCACTTTTACTCTGTGACACTACTAATAGTTTACAGCAGTGTTTAAACAATATCGATATTGATATTTACAAATTTCATTATCATTACTTTCAATAAGTTTTTTTTATATTTATTTTTTCACAAATTCAATAGATCAATTGTTCAAGTTACTGAAATTATTTTCAACATACTTATAACAAATGACATTAAAATTTAATTCAGAAAAGTTTAATATTATAGATATAATTTTATAATAAAAACTTCAATTGGAATTGATTCCTTGTGAACCTGATTTCAATATTGATATTAATTAAAATCTGTAAATCGTCTTGTTATTTTTGTTATTGTCTTTATTAATCAGTCTGTCTGGTCTGAATCTGATTGGTCTTAAATTGATCCTAGCTATGATAGTAATTTTTAATTATTTAAATATTCACCAGCTAGTGTTCTGAAAATTTGGTTCAGATTAATCTGAAACCAAACCGTTATCATTATCTCAGATTAGATCAAAAATTTTGAATTAAAAAATTAGAGTTATATTTTGTTTTTTGTTGTTTTACATCAGATCCCAAAATTTCGAATTGGCACCAGATTTGGAAATCTCCAGCCTAGCAGCTTTGTTGTATTTTGAATTACTTGCGAAATTTTTTTAAAGAGTCTACCAGCTTCATTTGAATTTTCTTTAACTCCTAACCTATTTTTCAGATGAATTGCTATAAAATA